GACCCGCCTCTACCAGGCTGCTCATGTCCAACCTGTCTGCTCTGATAGCACTTTCTGAGAACCTCAGGCAGATTGGGACGGCCCTTCAGATGTTTATTGACTTCTTGGCTTCAAAGTTAAGAGTATGGACATACTCTAGTTATGACCGTCACCAGCTGTGCAACCTTGGACACATTTCTAAACCTCTCAGTTGAAGAAACTGCCCCAGTTTCTTCAGCCGTTAGTTGAAGCTAATAACAGTGCCCGCTTCATAGAGCTGTTGTGAAGATTAAATAAATTAGCAAAGCATTTGAGACAATTCCCAGTACATGGTAAGTGTTCAGTCCTGCTGGCTATTATTAGTAGAAACCTAAAACCTTATTAGAAGAGAAGATGTGCTCTCTTCTTCACCTCTTCTTTCTGTAAATAGTACAAGGCTTCGCTCTCAGATGGCAGGCGGTGGTTTTGGAAATGCAAACAGGGTCCTTCAAGTCCTTCACCCTCTATTCCACCCAAAGGAATTGTGATTCTTTTCTAGACCTCCTGACTGAGTAGCCTGAGTAAAAGAGTGGAACTTGCTGCTCACCAGTCTAATTAGAATTGAAGCCAAGTGTCTCCATGGTTCAGAGGCTTCCTCACGTATTGCTGCACATGCAGCTTCTTTCCGGACACAATGCCAATGTTTCTTCCTCCATGCGGCCTTCCCTGATTTTTCTCCCTTTGAAATCCCTCCTTCAAGCTAGAGGTAATGTCTCCCTGAACCTCTAAAACAATCTATACCTAGAATTTTTTACCTGATATTAGAATTTGTTGTGTGTATCCCACAGTAGTTCTACCAGTTTTCAAATACTACCCAGGCAGGCTCAGTGCCAGGCTCTCCTTTGTATCATCTATAGTGCCCTGCACACAACAGATGCAAAGTGGATGAGTGTCAGTGAATGGATTTATCTACCACAGCACCAACAAGGCGAGCTCAGTCAGGTTGGGCGTATTCAGCCGCAAGTAAGAGCAGATCTCACTAATGGTGCCTGAAATAGTAAGAACATGGAATTTCATCTTAGAGCAGAAAGTCTGGAGGTCAATAGCCCCAAGGCTGGTCTGTCCACTCAGCAGCGTCAGGGCCCTGAGTTACCCTCTCTGTGCTCCTTTAGGCCTTGCCTCCTAGTCATAAAATAGCTAACGCAGCTCTGAGCACTGCTCTCCCCTTCTGTTTTGTCTCACTGGCCAGGACTGGGTTACGTGACTAGCCCCTGGTGAAAGAGAAGGGAGTTGCCACCAGTCTGACCTGGCCTGTGCCCAGTGCTGTAAACACCTGGCTTCGGTGAGCAGAGGAGGAGGAGAGATGGCTGCTGATTGGACAGCCAACCATATCTGTTTCCCAAGGCCTTGCTAACACATTCATGCCAGGGAAATAGGGAGAGCTAGAGAGGTTTTTCTTAATAGAGGGCTAGATTTCTGGTGAAGAGACAAGTATACTTTCAGAGCACGTTAGCCTTTTGTGGACATTAAAAATTAATCACCATCCCATAGATTTGGACCATGCTTAATTTACAAAACATTTTCATATTGTGAAAGACAGGATTACCAAGTGTTTGAGGACAGAGATACATGGCCTGCTTCGCCATTTTCTTGGTGGGTGACCTTGTGCAATTTACTTAACCTCCCTGTGCTTCAGTTTCTCACCTGTAAAATGGGAATCATGATAGAGTGTGTGTCATAGGGTTGTTTCTGAGATGAGTTTACATATACAAATACACATCATTTCCAAAGGCGCTTGGCACTCAGGAAGCACCCCTTAATTTGTTATCGTTATTATTTAGTAGTCCTGTCACTCCTTTGAGATAGGAACAAGGAGAATTTTGAGGCTCAGAGATGTTAGATGACTCACCCCTGCTCCGCAGCTGGGAAGGAGCCGGCAGAGGAGAGTCTGCCTGCGCTCTCAGCCCCCTGACCTCCCTGCGGGTCCTTTGTGACCAGTTTCTGAGGGTGACAGAGATGCACCTGGTGGCTCAATGTTACTTCACAGGTGATGCCTTATTTCTCAAATAAAGTGTGAGTTAGATGATTCTCCAAGAACAAGGACTCTCTTAAGGTCTCGCCTACACCCAGCCCCTAGCAGGGAGGAGGGCACAGGGGAGACTCTGGTTCCAGGGGTGTCGGAGGGGAGCAGGAGAGTTGGCACCGGGAGCAGAGGCCTGCGCCTGAGCTCTCGGCGCGGGGCGGGGTGACTGCTTTAGGAGACTGCTGCTGAGTATATGTGTTAACAGTGTAAAAAATGAACACAAATCAATTCATGTCTGAATTTACTCTCAGAATTCCCTGTGGACTCTATAAACTGTCATTTTCCCCGCATCTCACTGTGGACGCAACGGCAGGTTTACATTATTTTACATCCAGTTAAGCTTTTTTTCCCTTTTGGTTATGTTTTTAAGAACATTCATTGCCTATAAAGCGGTGTTTTTGTTAAAGACAATAGTGCCCTTTAGGTAGTCACAGTGTTGTTTCACAAATACCTATGAAACTGTTCAACAGGCTGGGATTGCTGGAGTTCTGATTAAAGGTGCTTTCTATTCACTTTTATCCTGGGAGCCTGTGAAACAGCTTCGCCGCCACCACCCACTGAGGAGGCCAACGGGTAGGGAAATATTGGGAGCCACGGGCAAGTCTGCTCAGACCTTAGCAGGCAGGACTCGCATTTACCCTCCCGCCCCCTCCAGAACCTATAAACTACTTTTAGTTATGTTTTTAAGAACATTCATTGCCTATAAAGCGGTGTAAAACTCTCCAGTAGTGCTGGGGTGTAGCTTAGGACTCCACTTAGAGCCTCCTCTAACACAGGGCTCCTGGAGGTTTGCAGGCGGGCCCAGGAGAGTGAGGGAGGAGGCTGGTGGGAGGAGGGACCCGTCGCTGAGTGGTTCATGGCACCAACTCCTGGCTCTGCCACTTAGGAGCTGTGTCTCTTGCACAAGTTACCTGGCCCCTCAGTGCCTCAGTTTCCTCATTCTAAAATGGGGGTAATAATTATACAACCATCTTCCCCAGAATATTGAGAAGATTTTAAAAAGTATGCCTTGAAATGCACTTGGCAAGTTGTATGGCCCCAGAGAGCTCAGTGAATGTTGCTAAGAAAGGGAAGTGAGGGAGCAGACTCTGTCATGAGGCTTTGCCATGTTGGTTCCTTGCAGACAGTCCTTCTGCATACCCTCCCTGTGCATGACTGGCCCATACACAGATGTGCTCTGAGAGCAGGCACGGGAGCAACTCTGTTCCAGGGGGAACGGAACTCACACAGGCCAGACTGAGCTCACCCCTTAACCTCAGAGTTCAGATTCCGCTGATTCAGAGTTTTGATCATTTGCTTAGGACTGGACCAAAGTGTCCTGTTGCATAATTGGAAACAGGATTGTAGGGGCAAGATTTAAAGGCAGTAAAGAGAAGACACACCCCTGACAGCCTCCCGAGTTCAGAAGCCCCTTTTCTCTGTCATTGATCCATAAATCGTATCATCCCAAGCACTCCTGAGCCAGACACTGTTCTAAGTGCTACGTGGTTAATTCAGTTCATCATCGCAGGAACCCAGGGAGGCAGTTACTGTTGTTATTGCCCCTTTGCAGGTGACAAAGCAGCTGCAGAGAGGTTGCCCAGCTGGCCAGTGGAGGGCTGGGATTGAGCCCAGGAGTCTGACCCCGGAGCAGACGTTCTGCCTATTTTGCTCGTTGGCAGCACCCTCCTTCCTCTGACAGATAATGAGCTATGGCCAGAGTCCTGTCTGCTCAATGCCAGCTGGGTCTCTGTTTCCAAACATCAATATTAACAATAATAATAGTAATTGCAATATTTCTATAAAATAACTTATTGCTGTTATTATTATCATCTAGCCCTTCCCAGCAGCCTGGCCCCGTGTCAGGCCTTTGACATGTAGTATCTCATTTAATTTCCATAACAAGGCTACAAGGCAGGTACTGTTATTATACACACTTTAAAGTTGTTAGCCCTAAGGACCCCCATTCTCCACATCATTGGTGCTTTCATTTTTTTGAGCATTTTCAGTGGTTAATCATTTCACATTCCCTCATCACAGCCAGGCTCAAAAACGGTAAGGAAGTGTGCATTTCACACTGAACCGAGGGCCTCGGACCCCATGCTTAGGGCCTTAGACCCTAAGCTGTATGCTATGCTAATTATAAAATACGTTTAGCATGTCCAGTCTATGACTCAGTTCCCCCAAAGACCGTAGTAAGTAAACTTTGTTATTTCAGATGTGTCCATGTGCTCTTTGTCTGGACAAAGTAAAGCTGAACTTGCCCTTTGAAACATTTCCTAGTTGGGTATTTTCACACATTCACAGGGGCTGTACCTCCCCCGTTCATCTGATTCTGAGTCTCGCTGCACTGGGGGAATGTTAACTGACAAAACGTTAAGTAATGACCCTGAAATGTAAAGTAATTAATGCCAGGATAATGGTACAGCGTGGGGATCTAGGTGTTTTAATGAGGGCTCGGGAAACAGTCTGGAGGGGGAGATGGATGTTACCATAATTAATGCCGCATATGGAAAAGTAACCTCTTAAAAAAGAGTGACCTCTTCCGCCTGGGCAACGCAGGGACCTCGTAACCCTTCCTGCTACCTGGAACTTCACTCCTGGGACTCTGGTCCTGTTAATAAAAGAGATAATCACCAGTCTGCCCTCATCGACTGTGGAAACTTTCCAAGTTTTTTTTTCTCCCCCCAGGATGAAATCAGAAATCACCATTTTTCGACTATTTATGAGTATATATAGTTAACTCTCAGATATATTTACTCAATACTTGCTCTATAATGAGAGTTTGTACTTTGTTTTCCTTCCCATTATCCCTGAAAAGAATGGATTATGGAAAAAAGATTAAAGTATAATACAGTCCCGTGGTTGCTAAGGTGCCGTCGGAGGTATTGGTAGGGCTCGCCAAGGTTCGTGTCTTTTATGAATGCCTTTCAGATTGCAGTGATCTAATCGACTTGAAAACTTGTTTATATTCTTGCAGGCATTAAACGTCGTCTTTGAAAAAATCCCAGAAAACGACAGTGCAGATGTCTGTCGGAATATTCCAGTCAATGTTCTTGATTGTGATACTATAGGCCAAGCCAAAGAAAAGATTTTCCAAGCATTCCTCAGCAAAAATGGCTCTCCTTATGGACTTCAGCTGAATGAAATTTGTCTCGGTAAGGCGATGCGGGAGCTGTTTTGTCCTAGACCCCTGCTGAGCACCCCTGCTAGCCCCCTGCCACCCCCTCCCCCCAGCATGGACGCGTCCATCTGGCGAAGCTTATTTGGCCTGTTGTTCCCAGAGGGCACCTCTAGGGGCCCCGAGACTGCGTTTTCTCCCAAGATCATCCTGGTTGTCCCTAGGAAGCGTAATCCTTCAAAAATGCTGGGTTTTTAAATATTAGGTTTGTAAATCAGATTCACGAGATTGCTACCCTTGAGACGGAGGAGTCACCTTGCATCAGGAAGTACAAGGTGTGAACCCCGTGCCCTCCCTATGAGCGTTTGATTTGTTTGTTGTGATACGAGCGTGTCGTTAGTGGGTGGCTCAGACTCGGGTGTTAACTCCAACACCCTAGAAAGGTCATTTTCCTCTCTGCTAATCTCATCCTGCATTAAGCATATCCTCCGTCTTCCCCAACACGAAGCAGCATCTGCTGCGAATTCATTTTCAGGCTCTATTGCTGTACTGCAAAGGAGAGCATATGCGTGAGCGAGCTGACAGGGCTCCGCTTCACTCAAATGTTCATCAACATTTTAAAGTTGAGCTGCACGCAGCCCTCGCAGGGGACTGTCATGGGATTTTATGGCAGATAATGGGACAGGAAAGAAGAGTAAAATCACAGCAGTGACAGACAACATAACAGGTTCATCTCCCCTCCTTGTGCAGTTGTAGCCTCGACTAAGCAAGCAATTAAAATCATCCCACCCCGCCTCCTGGTCAGACCTCCTGCTGACAGGCCCCTGAGAGAGGCCTGGGGACAGGGTCTGGCAAATTTGAATGAACGAAGCCAGGTAAACATGTGGCAACTACATGACCTAGCTGGAAAGGAAGCAGAGTCGTGAAGACACTTCTCCTCTGCCTCCCTCTGTTTGCTGGTGTTGGATGGGTTGTTGGGCACTTGAAGACCGATTTAGCTCATTGGTTAGATGCACGGTCAAAGGGCAGCCCCAGCCGGGAAAGCATGACGTGGCCCGGGCCATCAGCTTCCTTGCGCTGAGCCTGCCTCGCAAATGAGTGGCAGAGGAGATGGACATACAGAGAGAGGCACAGGAAAAGCAGCCCGTGGCCTCAGTCCTTCCGCTGCCGAGTTGGTAGAGTCCTCCCACCATCCCGGCTCTGTGCGCATCAGGTGCTCCTGGCCTCCTAACACAGGAAGGCTGGGAGCAGGACAAGCCAACTCGGAGCTACACGTTGTAGTGTGATGTGTAACGGGACACAGACACCAGCCAGTCGGGTTCCCGTGAGCTGCTGATCTCCCAAACTGCCTCACAGCTGGCCCCAGAACACTAAGCAAAGCCTAAGAAACCAGCCACCAAACTGTATTGAAATCTGATACCAGAAGCAACTGTGCTCAGACCCCTTACATTGAGGCTTACAGACTCATGCGTGGGCCTGCCTGGGTCAACAGGAAATGACAGGGCCCGACTTAGCTGGGAAAAGACATGCCATCTGAAAGGCGGTGCCACTTTGCTGGAGCTGATGGCGGATCTGTGTGGTCCGTGTTGCCAGATGGTCCCGGGTTTTTTTTGGTTTTTATTTTATTTTATTATTTTATTTTATTATTTTATTATTTTATTTTATTTTATTTTATTTATTTTATTTTATTTTTATTTTATATTTTATTTTATTTTAT